CTGCCCTCCCCCAATAAACAAGTTTTTTATTATTTATCAATTTCTTTTTTTTAAAAGATCTTTATTTTTTAATTATAAATAAACTGTGAACTTTTATGCTACGATGTATGTGATGTCAGATAGTAACTAAAAAAAAAAATCGCAGGCTACGTCAAATAAATTCATGTGTCTGTTGTGATTTGTGATTCGTCCACATTTAGACCAATCACAGCGTCACACTCTGCTGCCTATTCTGGATTTGTTTATTGTTTATTGTGCATTCTGTAGACTCCCATTTCTGTTTGGATTACAAAATGGACATCAGAAATTGGCTTAAAAGGTCTAAGGATTTATTAAAACGAAATAGCGATGAAAGAACTGCAGCCGATGGTGCTGCTGGCGACCCTGCACCTGCCGTTGCAGCAGCACGCCTTAATGTCACAAGCTTGACCTCGGCAAACCCCGGGGCTGAGTTAGCGAGCCCAATCCTTGACTCATCAAGGCGGGCGCCACCAACGCTGTCCTCCGAGGCACAGCTCCTTGTGCCCCTACCATCACCACCTGCGTTGCCACACCCTGTACCACACCCGCCAGCATCCTCCTCCTCCGTGCCGGTGCCTCCACTACAGACGCTATCTTGCAGCACATCAACAGGTACTATTGGTACGCTCAAAGACCAACAGCCCCAGATGATCTTGGGGTTAATAAACCCAACCAGGTGAAACTGGATCGTTATCCAGGGAGATTGTTTTCAGGAAAGAAGCACACTGTTGCCACTGCATGGTACAACAACAGACCATGGCTTGAATATTCGCTAAAAGCAGACGCAGCCTTTTGTTTCCCCTGTAGACAGTTTAAAGTAAATACGTCTTCATCTGATGCAGCTTTTACTGTCAAAGGTTTTTGCGACTGGAAACCCGCATTACAGACTGATGAAGGACTGCTAAGACATGCCGCATCAAAAGAACACATTTCATGTGAGAGTTTGTGGAGAGAGAGAGACAGATACGCGAGGAAACAAATAAGGAAATTAGTACTTTGGTGCACACAGATCAGCTGGCACGGAACCGTTATTACGTGTCAGCTGTCGTTGATATTATAGCTTTTTTAGCTGTCAACCAACTCCCTCTCAGAGGTGACCACGATTCACTCCACAGCATGTCCGAGTCAGGCAGTGGGTTGTTTGAGTATACGCTGCACAAAGATGCAGAGTTGGCCTTGCTGTTTGATATATATTGTGCCGCAGGCCCGCAGCACATGACGGTTTTGTGTGCCCTCCCATGAAAATCATATGCCCTCCCTTTAGATTTGTTCTGGCGCCGGGTCTGGTTCTGACTGATATCCCACTGATAGTCTGATAATAACGGCTGTTAAAGGTTAGCGGGCATTTAAGGACGCCTTCTGAAGGATACTCACCAGATAATGACACTGATATGTTTCATTATGGGGCAGGAAGACCCATGCAAAAGCTCCCACCACCACATAAACACAAGTACAGACACTTTGTAGTCTCTGTAGTTGTATTTTTATCATGGAGTCTCTTCCTGGTTCATGTTTCTTTGAGGGACTTTAGATGGTGACGCCCTGAGCATTCATCTATCAGGACAACATATATTATTACAGCAGTTATGATTTAACTAGAACATGCATTTCCTGCTGAACATGTTCTCCATCAGCTTCGTACGGCACCTTGGACATCACACAAGAACAACATCCTGTTTCAGTTTCTACTTTATTCATTATCCAAACATTTCATTTGATCACACATCCCATCAGTAAAGTCTGTTCAATGACTATTGATCAATGATTTCATGATCACTTTCCCTTTATCCACACCATGAATGTGTTTCATCTCAGCTATTTCAAACAGAATGATACATGATTTACTTATTGATTATGATCATGATTATGTATGTTCTATAAAACATCAGAGTACCCAATTTCTATTTGGACAACAACAACAACAACAACAACAATTAGTCTGTAATTAGTAGACGACGCCATAGCCCTCACCCTCCACACTGCCCTCTCACACCTGGACCCGAAGAAGAGGAACACATATGTGAGAATGCTGTTCATTGACTACAGTTCAGCATTCAACACCATTGTGCCCTCCAAGCTGGCCATCAAGCTCAGAGACCTCGGACTCAACAGCGCCCTCTGTGACTGGATCCTGAACTTCCTGACGGGCAGACCCCAGGCAGTGCGGGTGGGAAACATCACATCCTCCACCCTGATTCTAAACACCGGTGCCCCTCAAGGCTGCAGTGCTCAGCCCTCTCCTCTACTCCCTGTTCACCCACGACTGCGTGGCCACACACAGCTCCAACACCATCGTGAAGTTTGCTGATGACACGACCGTCATCGGCCAGATCACAGACGATGACGAGACGGCATACAGAGAGGAGGTCGAAAACCTGACATCTTGGTGCCAGGAGAACAACCTCCATCTCAACATCAGCAAAACAAAGGAGCTGATTGTGGATTACAGGAAGCAGCAGGGAGAGGGACACGCCCCCATCGCCATCAATGGGACTACGGTGGAGAGAGTCAAAAGCTTCAGGTTCCTTGGGGTCCACATCACTGAGGACCTGACATGGTCTCTTCACACCACCACCATCACCAAGAAAGCTCGACAGCGGCTCTTCTTCCTCCGCAGGTTGAGGAGGTTCAAAATGGACTTCCAGGATACTCTGCAACTTCTACAGGTGCACGATAGAGAGTATCCTCACTGGCAGCATGACGGCCTGGTACGGCAGCTGCACCGACCTCGATCGTAAGGCTTTACAGAGGGTGGTGAAAACTGCACAGCACATCACCAGGACGGAGCTGCCATCCATGGAGGACCTTTACTCCCAGCGGCTCAGGAAGAAATCACTACGGATTATCAAAGACCCCCATCACCCCAGCCACAAACTGTTCTTTCTGTTGCCGTCTGGCAGACGTTACCGCAGCATCCTGGCAAGGACAAGAAGATTCGGAGACAGTTTCTTCTCCGCGGGCAGTGAGACTGTTAAAAAATTGAACTGTTGAAACAACTTCAAACATTCAACTGCTACTCAGTAGTATGTATCTAATACCTAATATATATATATCATTCCAATAACTTGTATATAGACTCATACTGCACTATTCCACATCATAACTTTATTTCATTTTTATAACTATTATTATTTTTGTATTGCTCTTGCTCTTATTGTTATTATGTTATTATGTTGCATTGTTGGAGAAGCCTGTGACATAAGATTTTCAACTGCATAATTACTCTGTAGCTATGTCAGATTGACAATAAAGAACCTTGAACCTTGAACCTTGTAATATTATACCATTGATTTCCCAAGCAAAGACTCTAAGCTATTTCAAACAGAATAATAAATGATGTACTTATTGATTATGATCATGACAGGAAGTAATATCATTTTAAATAAACATGTTATGATGAAATAATTGTTATAACCATCTGGGTTTAATGTGTTAGTTAATTTGGGCAGCAACAAGAACATGTAATCTGTCAAAGTAATACATGTGATTCTAAATGTCTCTGAAGACTCGTGCATTACAAGAGAAACAACATGAATCAAAAGAAACATCCAGCAAATCTTTAGAGCAAAGTTTACAGGTGACCAAGGATCCTCCTGAGCAGTGACAGCCTCCATGGCTACACAGACCCAGGAAGGAGCCGGAAGAAAGTCCAACATCTACAGAACAACTCATGAGAAGATGTTCAAGCCCCACCCATCATGTTTGATTGACAGCTGATCTCTGCACAGTGAAGACATGAACAATCAGCTCTGATGGACACACGGTGAGTTTAAGAAGTAGAAGAGTTCCTCCAATGACTTCAGGCTATTTGAGTTTACAAAACTCAGCTGTGTCTCCATCAATCACAATCAAGCTGAAGTCCAGCATGTAGTGGCTGAGTGAATGTGGTCTGCACTCTGTGGAGGAGAGTCATGGTTTCAGAGACGCTGTAGAAGGACAGAACACCTGCTCTGTGATCCAGGTACACTCCTACTCTGGAGGACAGAGGACCTGAAACGGGAGTGAGGATACTGTTGTAACGAAATGTAAAACTGATTTTGTCACAATATAACGCCCAAGATTTGTCATTGTTTCCAAAGAAACGTTCCCCCCCCCACCCCCTGCTCTGATGATATGCTTGTATGCGACTGCTACTACACTGTGGAACTTTCTCTTTTCACTGGGATTTATATGCATTATTGTCAATTTGCTGCTTTGGTTTGGGAGCTGTAGAAAAGGGGGCAATAGGAAGCTTATGAGAGTCACAGTACTGTATGTTCCTGTTGGGTTTTAAATGAGAGCTGTGTATGTTTTTGTATTGTAGAATCCATTTTGTTTTTCTGTTTTAATGACATTAAATATCTGCTTAATGGCAAGAAAAAGCATTTATTTGTAACCGAACATGGTGAATGATTACAGAACTGAAAATAAAAAAACGTTTACAACACCTGTGAAAACACTCATCTCCTTACAACACTATGTAGCCCTTTTCAATGTTGGCTTTACATGGTTCCTAATGTATTGCTTTCAGTTTCATTCATTTTCCAGTCTGGGAACAGCAGAACTAAGTCTTTTGAAACACCACCTGTCTGCCAGCATGAGAGCCCCACCCCCGCCTCACTACTATCCCTCCCTTGGGCCAGAGTGAATACCACACCCTATTTGAGATCAGGCCGGGGTTAGGACTCTGTTCTTCTCACGTAAAGCACAAATCCAATGTATAATAAGTCAATGTAAGATATGCAAATGGTACTCTTGAATCATCTGATGTTGAGAAATCATGTAGTGATTAATCTAGCATTTAACTAGATTGCCATGTCTGGTGTGTTCAGAGAACAGATATATACATGTTAAACACCACTGCCTCCAAGTGACTGAATTGAGCAATAGCATCTGTGTGAAAACATTTTTGATTGAACTGAGCAAGTGAATACATACAACCCATCTAGGCAGATAGGTCATGTTTAACAGTGTATTCATTGACGAGAGGAAAGCATAGGTTCAGGTTCAGTCAATGAACAACTTTATTTTCTTGACATTAATAAAACAGCATGGATCAGAGATCAATAAAGCTTTCTAATACTCCTCTCCTTCCTCATCCTCATCTCCCAGGCTATCAGCTCCAACCTCCTCGTAATCTTTCTCCAGAGCGGCCATGTCCTCCCTGGCCTCAGAGAACTCTCCCTCCTCCATACCCTCACCCACATACCAGTGCACAAAGGCACGCTTAACGTACATCAGATCAAACTTGTGGTCCAGCCGAGCCCAGGCCTCTGCAATAGCAGTGGTGTTGCTCAGCATGCACACAGCCCTCTGGACCTTGGCCAGGTCTCCACCAGGAACTACAGTGGGCGGCTGGTAGTTGATGCCCACCTTGAAACCAGTGGGGCACCAGTCCACAAACTGGATGGAGCGCTTGGTTTTGATGGTGGCAATGGCAGCGTTCACGTCTTTGGGAACGACATCACCACGATACAAAAGGCAGCAGGCCATGTATTTACCGTGGCGTGGGTCGCATTTCACCAACTGATTGGCTGGCTCGAAGCAGGAATTAGTGATTTCTGCCACTGAGAGCTGCTCATGGTAAGCTTTCTCTGCAGAAATAACAGGGGCATAGGTGGCCAGAGGGAAGTGGATACGGGGATAGGGCACCAAGTTGGTCTGGAACTCTGTCAGATCAACATTGAGGGCACCATCAAAACGAAGGGAGGCAGTGATGGAGGACACAAGTTGACTCATCAACCTGTTCAGGTTTGTGTAAGAGGGACGCTCGATACACAACCATGAAGGCACAGTCAGAGTGCTCCAGGGTGGTGTGGGTGGTCAGGATGGCGTTGTAGGGCTCCACCACAGCGGTGGACACCTGGGGAGCTGGGTAGACGGAGAACTCCAGTTTGGACTTCTTGCCGTAGTCGACGGACAGACGCTCCATCAGCAGGGAGGTGAAACCAGAGCCAGTGCCCCCTCCGAAGCTGTGGAACACCAGGAAACCCTGAAGACCGGTGCACTGGTCGGACTGAAAGAAAAAGAGAAAATCATGAAATAACTAGAAAATGCATTTCCTGCGAATGCTGTAAACTGTGAACATTTGTGGCTGAATTTAGCTGAAAATGCAGAAAAAGCTGAATATGTTATTAGCTGAATGGTAGCTGCTTTTAGCTACAAAAATGCAGAAAAAGCTTAATATTTAAAAGAAAAGGTTTAAAAAAAGGTATAAACAACATGTATAGCCTTGATGTCCTGAAATAGCTGAATAATGTAATAGTTGAATGGTTTCTGCAGCTGAAAATAGGCTGAAGGAGTTAAATATCAGATGTAAGTAGTAGTGAATGAATTTGTATTAAGATGAGAAAAGAAAGTAAAAAGGCTTGGGAAAGCAGCAGAATATTTGAACTACAAACTTTTGAACTAACTTGATGGTGAATTATCTGTCGCCATGGCAACGGCATTTGATGACACCCCATAATACGCTTAGATGTGTTGATGGCTGCATCGTTACCAAACCTGTGAAGTTTTGGGCCATTTCGAGCATTTTCACTGAAGTTATGAGAAAACCGTGTTTCATGGTGAGCATTGTGTTGCCATGGCAACGGCATTTGAAGAAATCTCAAAACTGTCCCGTAGATGTCTTCACGGCTGGACTGTTAGCACACATGTGAAGTTTGAGCACTTTTTGAACATTTTCATAGGAGTAATATATTACATTAGGAGGTTACATGACTCTCTCTCTTCTCTTGATCGCCCTCTCTCTTCTCTTGATCACCCTCTCAATCTTCTATCGCCCTCTCTCTCTTCTCTTGATCGCCCTCTCTCTTCTCTTGATCACCCTCTCAATCTTCTATCGCCCTCTCTCTCTTCTCTTGCTCGCCCTCTCTCTCTTCTCTTGATCGCCCTCTCTCTTCTCTTGATCGCCCTCTTTCTCTTCTCTTGATCGCCCTCTCTCTCTCCTCTTGATCGCCCTCTCACTCTTCTATCACCCTCTCTCTCTTCTCTTGATCGCCCTCTCTCCTCTTGATCGCCCTCTCTCTCTTCTCTTGATCGCCCTCTCTCTCTTCTATCACCCTCTCACTCTTCTATCACCCTCTCTCTCTTCTCTTGATCGCCCTCTCTCTCTCCTCTTGATCGCCCTCTCTCTCCTCTTGATCGCCCTCTCTCTCTCCTCTTGATCGCCCACTCTCTCTCCTCTTGATCGCCCTATCACTCTTCTATCACCCTCTCTCTCTTCTCTTGTGTTCTTCTTCTTGAACACCCTCTCTCTCTTCTCTTGATCGCCCTCTCTCTCTCCTCTTGATCGCCCTCTCTCTTCTCTTGATCACCCTCTTACTCTTCTATCACCCTCTCTCTCTTCTCTTGATCGCCCTCTCTGTCTTCCCTTGATCGCCCTCTCTCTCCTCTTGATCGCCCTCTCTCTTCTCTTGATCGCCCTCTCTCTCTCCTTGATCGCCCTCTCTCTCTCTTCTCTTGATCGCCCTCTCTCTCTTCTCTTGATCACCCTCTCACTCTTCTATCACCCTCTCTCTCTTCTCTTGATCGCCCTCTCTCCTCTTGATGGCCCTCTCTCTCTTCTCTTGATCGCCCTCTCTCTCTTCTATCACCCTCTCACTCTTCTATCACCCTCTCTCTCTCTGATCGCCCCCTCTCTCTCCTCTTGATCGCCCTCTCTCTCTCCTCTTGATCGCCCCTCTCCTCTCCCTCTCTCCTTGATCGCCCTCTCTCTCTCCTTTTGATCGCTCCCTCTCTCCTCTCCTCTGATCGCCCACTCTCTCTCTCTCCTCTTGATCGCCCTCTCTCTCTCCTTGATCGCCCCTCTCTCTCTCTTGATCACTCCTCTCCTCTTGATCGCCTCTCTCTCTTGATCGCCTCTCTCTTCTGATCGCCCTCTCTCTCTCTTCTCTTGATCGCCCTCTCTCTCTCCTCTTGACGCCCTCTCTCTTCTCTTGATCACCCTATCACTCTTCTATCACCCTCTCTCACTTCTCTTGATGTGTTCATAAAAGAGAGGGAGAGTGTGTGTGTGTGAGAGAGAGAGAGAGAGAGAATTGTTACAGCTCAAATGCATTGCAATGACTTCCATGTTAAAAAAAGACTTTAAAAAGCTGAATGTTTTAAAAAGTATAACATATTTTGAAAAAGTTGAAAGTTACCCCATCATGTGCTGAAAAGGCTGAATAGTTTGATATTTGAATGGTTCCTGCAGCTGAAATTAGGCTGAAGGAGTTAAATAAAGATATTAAATGTAAGTAGTAGTGAATGAATGTTTACAAACACCTGTGTGTGTAAACCCAGAGATGAAAGGTTACCATGGTGACGACTTATGACGATTGACCAACTGCAGCACTGAGTCCCATTAAGAATGCATTGAGGATTATATCTGACAATTTTGCCACCTGTTCAAAAACTATGGCTCCTATCAAAAAATTACCAGACCGTGAGCATCAGATAACCCCAATGAACTGATATATGTTGTTTTTTTTGGTTTTGTGTGTAAAATGTGGATATGGGAGCAGTTTGTCTAAAGTGTACTTCTCTCTGTTCTGAAGAAAGTTCCGGAAAGATTTAACATGGGAATCAATTGGGAGCTAGGTGGACTTTTTGTCTCTTCATGCCCTCAAGAGGCATTTTGTTTAATATTTTTTCTTCATATTTTTTAATTTTCCAAACTAGGAGAGGTTTTCCTACGTTTTTCATGAAAAAATATGTCTGAGGAGTGTAGGGTTTGGGAATTATGGCAAGTTTAAAACATTTTTTGAGGAGAATTTGAAGCACCCCTCCACTCTGTTTTGAGATCAAAGCACTCTAGACTTAACGAGCTGCTCCATCCACACTAATGTTAAAATCTGAAAAAGGCCTCTCTACCAAGCTCCAAACTAAGTTAAATATCTCAAAAAGTGTAAAAGATATCAAAAATAAAAATCAATTTTGAATAGCTGAAGGTGTTGTGATCATTTGAAAGTTGGAATGAAGTGTCTCGCTGAAAGTATGTGGAAGGAGTAGCATTTGGCGCAAAGTTTAGGAAAAGAGGATTTGAAGGCATCTCCCATTGTTAAAAAAAGAGTTTAAAAAGCTGAATATTTCAAGAAGTATAAAATATTTTTAAAGATTTGAAGGTTTCCCATCGATTCCTGAACAGGCTGAATAGTTTAATATTTGACTGGTTTCTGTAGCTGAAAATAAGCTGAAGTTATGGAGTGCTAAAGTATTGGCTGAAATAATAATAATAACTAGAAAATACATTTCCTGCAGAAAATGCGTGTGAATGCTGTAAACTGTGAATGAATTTAGCTGAAAATGCAGAAAAAGCTGAATATGTTATTAGTTGAATGGTAGCTGCTTTTAGCTACAAAAATGCAGAAAAAGCTTAATATTTAAAAGAAAAGGTTTAAAAAAACATGTATAGCCTTGATGTCCTGAAATAGCTGAATAATGTAATAGTTGAATGGTTTCTGCAGCTGAAAATAGGCTGAAGGAGTTAAATATCAGATGTAAGTAGTAGTGAATGAATTTGTATTAAGATGAGAAAAGAAAGTAAAAAGGCTTGGAAAAGCAGCAGAATATTTGAACTACAAACTTTTGAACTAACTTGATGGTGAATTATCTGTCGCCATGGCAACGGCATTTGATGACACCCCATAATACGCTTAGATGTGTTGATGGCTGCATCGTTACCAAACCTGTGAAGTTTTGGGCCATTTCGAGCATTTTCACTGAAGTTATGAGAAAACCGTGTTTCATGGTGAGCATTGTGTTGCCATGGCAACGGCATTTGAAGAAATCTCAAAACTGTCCCGTAGATGTCTTCACGGCTGGACTGTTAGCACACATGTGAAGTTTGAGCACTTTTTGAACATTTTCATAGGAGTTATACATTACATTAGGAGGTTACATTACTCTCTCTCTTCTCTTGATCGCCCTCTCTCTTCTCTTGATCACCCTCTCAATCTTCTATCGCCCTCTCTCTCTTCTCTTGATCGCCCTCTCTCTCTTCTCTCTCTCTTCTCTTGCTCGCCCTCTCTCTCTTGATCGCCCTCTCTCTCCTCTTGATCGCCCTCTCTCTCTCCTCTTGATCGCTCTCCTCTCTCTCCTCTTGATCGCCATCTCTCTCTCCTCTTGATCGCCCTCTCTCTCTCCTCTTGATCGCCCTCTCTCTCTCCTCTTGATCGCCCTCTCTCTCTCCTCTTGATCGCCCTCTCTCTCTCCTCTTGATCGCCCACTCTCTCTCCTCTTGATCGCCCACTCTCTCTCCTCTTGATCGCCCTCTCTCTCTCCTCTTGATCGCCCACTCTCTCTCTCCTCTTGATCGCCCTCTCTCTCTCCTCTTGATCGCCCTCTCTCTCTCCTCTTGATCACCCTCTCTCTCTCCTCTTGATCACCCTCTCTCTCTCCTCTTGATCGCCCTCTCTCTCTCCTCTTGATCGCCCTCTCTCTCTCCTCTTGATCACCCTCTCTCTCTTCTCTTGATCGCCCACTCTCTCTCCTCTTGATCGCCCACTCTCTCTCCTCTTGATCGCCCTCTCTCTCTTCTCTTGATCGCCCACTCTCTCTCCTCTTGATCGCCCACTCTCTCTCCTCTTGATCACCCTCTCTCTCTTCTCTTGATCGCCCTCTCTCTCTCTTCTCTTGATCGCCCTCTCTCTTCTATTGATCGCCCTCTCTCTCTTCTCTTGATCGCCCTCTTCTCTTGATCGCCCTCTCTTTTCTCTTGATCGCCCTCTCTCTCTCCTCTTGATCGCCCTCTCTCTCTCCTCCTCTTGATCGCCCTCTCTTTTCTCTTGATCGCCCTCTCTCTCTCCTCTTGATCGCCCTCTCTCTCTCTCCTCTTGATTGCCCTCTCTCTTCTCTTGATCGCCCTTTCTCTCTTCCCCTTGATCGCCCTCTCTCTCCTCTTGATCGCCCTCTCTCTCTCCTCTTGATCGCCCTCTCTCTCTCCTCTTGATCGCCCTCTCTCTCTCCTCTTGATCGCCCACTCTCTCTCCTCTTGATCGCCCACTCTCTCTCCTCTTGATCGCCCTCTCTCTCTCCTCTTGATCGCCCTCTCTCTCTCCTTTTGATCGCCCTCTCTCTCTCTCCTCTTGATCGCCCTCTCTCTCTCCTCTTGATCGCCCTCTCTCTCTCCTCTTGATCACCCTCTCTCTCTTCTCTTGATCGCCCTCTCTCTCTCTCTTCTTGATCACCCTCTCTCTCTTCTCTTGATCGCCCTCTCTCTCTCTCTCCTCTTGATCGCCCTCTCTCTTCTCTTGATCACCCTATCACTCTTCTATCACCCTCTCTCACTTCTCTTGATGTGTCTGTGAGAGAGAGGGAGAGTGTGTGTGTGTGTGTGAGAGAGAGAGAGAGAGAGAGAGAGAGAGAGTCTGTCTGTCTGTCTGTCTGTCTGTCTGTCTGTGAGAGAGAGAGAGAGAGAATTGTTATTGTTATTGTCTCTCCTCTCGATCGCCCTCTCCTCTTGATCGCCCTCTCTCTCTCCTCTTGATCGCCCTATCACTCTTCTATCACCCTCTCTCTCTTCTCTTGATGTGTCTGTGAGAGAGAGAGAGAGAGAGAGAGAGAGAGAGAGAGAGAGAGAGAGAGAGAGAGAGAGAGAGAGAGAGAGAGAGAGAGACTGTCTGTCTGTCTGTCTGTCTGAGAGAGAGAGAATTGTTACAGGTCAAATGCATTGCAATGACTTCCATGTTAAAAAAAGACTTTAAAAAGCTGAATGTTTTAAAAAGTACAACATATTTTGAAAAAGTTGAAAGTTTCCCCATCATGTGCTGAAAAGGCTGAATAATTTGATATTTGAATGGTTCCTGCAGCTGAAATTAGGCTCAAGGAGTTAAATAAAGATATTAAATGTAAGTAGTAGTGAATGAATGTTTACAAACACCTGTGTGTGTAAACCCAGAGATGAAAGGTTACCATGGTGACGACTTATGACGATTGACCAACTGCAGCACTGAGTCCCATTAAGAATGCATTGAGGTTTGTATCTGACAATTTTGCCACCTGTTCAAAAACCATGGCTCCTATCAAAAAATGACCGGACCGTGAGCATCAGGGAACCCCAATGAATGTTGTTTTTTTTGGTTTTGTGTGTAAAATGTGGAGATGGGAGCAGTTTGTCTAAAGTGTACTTCTCTCTGTTCTGAAGAAAGTTCCGGAAAGATTTAACATGGGAATCAATTGGGAGCTAGCTGGACTTTTTGTCTCTTCATGCCCTCAAGAGGCATTTTGTTTAATATTTTTTCTTCATATTTTTTAATTTTCCAAACTAGGAGAGGTTTTCCTACGTTTTTCATGAAAAAATATGTCTGAGGAGTGTAGGGTTTGGGAATTATGGCAAGTTTAAAACATTTTTTGAGGAGAATTTGAAGCACCCCTCCACTCTGTTTTGAGATCAAAGCACTCTAGACTTAACGAGCTGCTCCATCCACACTAATGTTAAAATCTGAAAAAGGCCTCTCTACCAAGCTCCAAACTAAGTTAAATATCTCAAAAAGTGTAAAAGATATCAAAAATAAAAATCAATTTTGAATAGCTGAAGGTGTTGTGATCATTTGAAAGTTGGAATGAAGTGTCTCGCTGAAAGTATGTGGAAGGAGAAGCATTTGGCGCAAAGTTTAGGAAAAGAGGATTTGAAGGCATCTCCCATTGACTTCCATGTTAAAAAAAGAGTTTAAAAAGCTGAATATTTCAAGAAGTATAAAATATTTTTAAAGATTTGAAGGTTTCCCATCGATTCCTGAACAGGCTGAATAGTTTAATATTTGACTGGTTTCTGTAGCTGAAAATAAGCTGAAGTTATGGAGTGCTAAAGTATTGGCTGAAATAATAATAATAACTAGAAAATGCATTTCCTGCAGAAAATGCGTGTGAATGCTGTAAACTGTGAATGAATTTAGCTGAAAATGCAGAAAAAGCTGAATATGTTATTAGTTGAATGGTAGCTGCTTTTAGCTACAAAAATGCAGAAAAAGCTTAATATTTAAAAGAAAAGGTTTAAAAAAACATGTATAGCCTTGATGTCCTGAAATAGCTGAATAATGTAATAGTTGAATGGTTTCTGCAGCTGAAAATAGGCTGAAGGAGTTAAATATCAGATGTAAGTAGTAGTGAATGAATTTGTATTAAGATGAGAAAAGAAAGTAAAAAGGCTTGGAAAAGCAGCAGAATATTTGAACTACAAACTTTTGAACTAACTTGATGGTGAATTATCTGTCGCCATGGCAACGGCATTTGATGACACCCCATAATACGCTTAGATGTGTTGATGGCTGCATCGTTACCAAACCTGTGAAGTTTTGGGCCATTTCGAGCATTTTCACTGAAGTTATGAGAAAACCGTGTTTCATGGTGAGCATTGTGTTGCCATGGCAACGGCATTTGAAGAAATCTCAAAACTGTCCCGTAGATGTCTTCACGGCTGGACTGTTAGCACACATGTGAAGTTTGAGCACTTTTTGAACATTTTCATAGGAGTTATACATTACATTAGGAGGTTACATTACTCTCTCTCTTCTCTTGATCGCCCTCTCTCTTCTCTTGATCACCCTCTCAATCTTCTATCGCCCTCTCTCTCTTCTCTTGATCGCCCTCTCTCTCTTCTCTCTCTCTTCTCTTGCTCGCCCTCTCTCTCTTGATCGCCCTCTCTCTCCTCTTGATCGCCCTCTCTCTCTCCTCTTGATCGCTCTCTCTCTCTCCTCTTGATCGCCATCTCTCTCTCCTCTTGATCGCCCTCTCTCTCTCCTTTTGATCGCCCTCTCTCTCTCTCCTCTTGATCGCCCACTCTCTCTCCTCTTGATCACTCTCTCCTCTTGATCGCCCTCTCTCTCTCCTTGATCACCCTCTCTCTCTTCTTGATCGCCCACTCTCTCTCCTCTTGATCGCCCACTCTCTCTCCTCTTGATCGCCCTCTCTCTCTCTTCTCTTGATCGCCCTCTCTCTCTCCTCTTGATCGCCCTCTCTCTTCTCTTGATCACCCTATCACTCTTCTATCACCCTCTCTCACTTCTCTTGATGTGTCTGTGAGAGAGAGGGAGAGTGTGTGTGTGTGAGAGAGAGAGAGAGAGAGAGAGAGAATTGTTACAGCTCAAATGCATTGCAATGACTTCCATGTTAAAAAAAGACTTTAAAAAGCTGAATGTTTTAAAAAGTATAACATATTTTGAAAAAGTTGAAAGTTACCCCATCATGTGCTGAAAAGGCTGAATAGTTTGATATTTGAATGGTTCCTGCAGCTGAAATTAGGCTGAAGGAGTTAAATAAAGATATTAAATGTAAGTAGTAGTGAATGAATGTTTACAAACACCTGTGTGTGTAAACCCAGAGATGAAAGGTTACCATGGTGACGACTTATGACGATTGACCAACTGCAGCACTGAGTCCCATTAAGAATGCATTGAGGATTATATCTGACAATTTTGCCACCTGTTCAAAAACTATGGCTCCTATCAAAAAATTACCAGACCGTGAGCATCAGATAACCCCAATGAACTGATATATGTTGTTTCTTTTGGTTTTGTGTGTAAAATGTGGATATGGGAGCAGTTTGTCTAAAGTGTACTTCTCTCTGTTCTGAAGAAAGTTCCGGAAAGATTTAACATTGGGAATCAATTGGGAGCTAGGTGGACTTTTTGTCTCTTCATGCCCTCAAGAGGCATTTTGTTTAATATTTTTTCTTCATATTTTTTAATTTTCCAAACTAGGAGAGGTTTTCCTACGTTTTTCATGAAAAAATATGTCTGAGGAGTGTAGGGTTTGGGAATTATGGCAAGTTTAAAAACATTTTTTGAGGAGAATTTGAAGCACCCCTCCACTCTGTTTTGAGATCAAAGCACTCTAGACTTAACGAGCTGCTCCATCCACACTAATGTTAAAATCTGAAAAAGGCCTCTCTACCAAGCTCCAAACTAAGTTAAATATCTCAAAAAGTGTAAAAGATATCAAAAATAAAAATCAATTTTGAATAGCTGAAGGTGTTGTGATCATTTGAAAGTTGGAATGAAGTGTCTCGCTGAAAGTATGTGGAAGGAGTAGCATTTGGCGCAAAGTTTAGGAAAAGAGGATTTGAAGGCATCTCCCATTGTTAAAAAAAGAGTTTAAAAAGCTGAATATTTCAAGAAGTATAAAATATTTTTAAAGATTTGAAGGTTTCCCATCGATTCCTGAACAGGCTGAATAGTTTAATATCTCACTCTTCTATCACCCTCTCTCACTTCTCTTGATGTGTCTGTGAGAGAGAGGGAGAGTGTGTGTGTGTGTGTGAGAGAGAGAGTCTGTCTGTCTGTCTGTCTGTCTGTCTGTCTGTCTGTGAGAGAGAGAGAGAGAGAATTGTTATTGTTATTGTCTCTCCTCTTGATCGCCCTCTCCTCTTGATCGCCCTCTCTCTCTCCTCTTGATTGCCCTATCACTCTTCTATCACCCTCTCTCTCTTCTCTTGATGTGTCTGTGAGACAGAGAGAGAGAGAGAGAGAGAGAGAGAGAGAGAGAGAGAGAGAGAGAGAGAGAGAGACTGTTTGTCTGTCTGTCTGTCTGAGAGAGAGAGAATTGTTACAGGTCAAATGCATTGCAATGACTTCCATGTTAAAAAAAGACTTTAAAAAGCTGAATGTTTTAAAAAGTACAACATATTTTGAAAAAGTTGAAAGTTTCCCCATCATGTGCTGAAAAGGCTGAATAATTTGATATTTGAATGGTTCCTGCAGCTGAAATTAGGCTCAAGGAGTTAAATAAAGATATTAGTGCAGAGTGCAGCAGTTCTTCAAGTTCTTCAAATTCTCCCCCAAAAATGTTTTAAACTTGCCATAATTCCCAAACCCTACACTCCTCAGACATATTTTTTCATGAAAAACGTAGGAAAACCTCTCCTAGTTTGGAAAATGAAAAAAAATTAAGAAGAAATATTAAACAAAATGCCTCTTGAGGGCATGAAGAGACAAAAAGTCCAGCTAGCTCCCAATTGATTCCCATGTTAAATCTTTCCGGAACTTTCTTCAGAACAGAGAGAAGTACACTTTAGACAAACTGCTCCCATCTCCACATTTTACACAAAAAACCAAAAAAAACAACCTATATCAGTTCATTGGGGTTCCTTGATGCTCACGGTCTGGTCATTTTTTGATAGGAGCCATCGTTTTTGAACAGGTGGCAAAATTGTCAGATATAATCCTCAATGCATTCTTAATGGGACTCAGTGCTGCAGTTGGAAAATCGTCATAAGTCGTCACCATGGTAACCTTTCATCTCTGGGTTTACACACACAGGTGTTTGTAAACATTCATTCACCACTACTTACATTTAATGTCTTTATTTAACTCCTTCAGCCTAATTTCAGCTGCAGGAACCATTCAAATATCAAACAATTCAGCCTTTTCAGCACATGATGGGAAACTTTCAACTATTTCAAAATATGTTTTAAAATATTCAGATTTTTAAAGTCTTTTTTTAACATGGAAGTCATTGCAATGCATTTGAGCTGTAACAATTCACACACTCTCTCTCTCTCTCTCTCTCTCTCTCTCTCTCTCTCACACAGACATACAGACAGACAGACACACACTCTCTCTCTCTCTCTCTCTCTCTCTCTCTCTCTCTCTCTCTCTCTCTCTCACACACACACACACACTCTCCCTCTCTCTCACAGACACATCAAGAGAAGTGAGAGAGGGTGATAGAAGAGTGATAGGGTGATCAA